TACACTCCGATGAATTGTTTTCTTCTCTCATAATAAAATTTCAAACAGTAATATTATCCCATTTGAGGCAAGCCTTCTACAGCGGCATGGGCGTGGCCATTCTGAGGAGCAACTCGAAAAATCCATTCAATGTTCCATCCAGTGGGTTCTCCATCAATCCACATGAAAAGCAGCAGTTCTCTTTTACGCATTCAAGAATGCCATCTAAGCAGCATCAGGTTGCACTTCTCCAGGTCCGCCTCCAGACACTGATGGTTTAGAGGAAACCACCACAGCTGGTAGTACTGAGCTAGCAAATATCTCGAACAAGAAGTTTACCATTGACGTCTGGTGGCTAAGTGATGACGGAGGGCTGACCCTTCTTGTGCCGTATCTTCTCACCCTTCGTGGGAGCCATCTCAAGGTATTCCATCACAACGAATTTTCAATTACTCTAGAGTAATGTGATGCAATTTCTTGATTCAGGGTGCCAATCTTCGCGTCTTCACGATAGCTCCCGAAGGCGAGTCTGTCTCCGCGGAAGAAAAACGAATGGCGTCACTATTGGAGAAGTTCCGTATCCAGTACAGCTATCTCCACGTTGTGCCAGCATTTACAAAACCAGACGAGAAAACGTAACTTTTTCTTCCCTCACGCAGAAAACCCACATTTGTTGGCATCTAGTCAACCTGTACGCATTTACAGAAGTGAACAGTTCTACAAGTCGTTGGAGCCGTTCTTGGGCGAAGACAAAGAGGGCTTGATCTCTAAGGACGAACTCACGAAAATGCATAACAGAATTGCCAGACACATCCAAACCGGCACCCTGCTTCGGAACTTCTCTTCCAGGGCGGACCTGGTGGTGGTGTAAGTTAACACCTCGTTGTTGCTCATCCTCAAACATAACTAAAACAGCAGCAATTGATGACATGGATCAAACAACTCGCAGCGTCAGTCGTTTAGTCACTGTCATCAATAACTGCTGCTGCTTCAGAATTTGGTCCTTCAAAGGCAAGCTCTGGGATAGAACTGGTGTGTAAGGGCGCTTCGCAGTGAAGGCTGAAATGCGGAATGAGCTGAAAGAAGAAAGCAGACATCGGAGACGCTGAAATTAAGGCCTTAGCCTTCACTAAGGTCGGGTGTGGTACGATGGCGAGACACGGCGAACAAAGAGGACAAAACACGCGAGAGAGCCCGCTGACCTCTACATCAATCGCGGTGGGTGGGCAGCTCTGCAGCGAGGATC